TTATATTTTATAGTCATATTATTGGATGTAATAGTAGTTGTATTTGACCTGCAGGTGCTGATGTGATGTCACAGGCTCAGGACAGCGCTACTATCCTTTTTGAGGCATCTGCCTCCGGGAACCCCGATGTCATTTCTGTGCTGCTGGAGTATGGTGCAGATGCCAATGTACCTAAACACACTGGCCACCTGCCCATTCACAGAGTGGCCCACCGCGGACATCTGAAGTAAGACAGATTTCTGACCATCACTTGGTTCCTAAATCCGATAGTGGTGGTCCTTTGGCAAATGGTGGTACTTCAGGCAGTCAATATTCAACTTCTTTGACTCCTAAAGGCCTACTGTTATTGTTGTTGTTTTGTTATACAGTCAATTTACATTACTTAATTTTTGAAATGTAATGAAACAGGTTTATTACATACTGGTGTCAATAATAGTGTTTACATTTAGGTTCACATTCTACATTGACAGGTTTGCACTTCTGCTTTTCACCTTTTTTATGTCAAAAAATGATAAAAATGTGGCCAAAACTGTGAAGGATGGTTCCCCCTGTTTACAATCGACTGAAAATTTAGAATCTGCTATTTTGACAGGATTTCCTCACTTGTTTCAAGGGGGTACAAGTGAGAAGTGGTCAAACATACATGAAGCAGAGGCATGTCATGGCATTTATTACATGGCGAATCTAGAGGGGGTTAGCTACCTCAGAATAAACCTCCAATTAATGCATTTCACAGATGTTGAAAGTGCTTATAGAAGTACATTCTCCACTAGATGTAACTCTTTTTTGTTTTTCTTTCATTAGAGCTTTGGCTCTGCTAATCCCTGTGACCACCTGGGAGGCCGTGGATGAGAGCGGGATGAGCCCTCTTCACTCTGCGGCTGCTGGTGGACACTTCCAGTGCCTGCAGATGCTGCTAGACGCCGACTACGATCCCAACTTCATGCTGTACCCCTGGGTGCGTCGCAATTACGACGACCAGCGCAAGTCGGCCCTGTACTTCGCCGTGTGCAACGAGGACCTGCGCTCCACCAGGTTGCTGCTGGAGGCCGGAGCCATGCCCAATCAGGACCCAGTCAAGTGCCTTCAGGTGGCGCTGCGCCTGGGCAACTACGAGCTGATAGACACTCTGCTGAGGTACGGCGCCAACGTCAACTACTTCTGCAGGGTGAACACCACACACTTCCCCTCCGCTCTGCAGTACGCCTTAAAAGATGAGATTATGCTGAGGATGCTCTTTAACTACGGCTATGATGTGCTGTGCTGCTTCGACTGCCCGTACGGGGATAAATCACATGTGCCAAATGATTATGAGGGCTGGACCACTTCCGTCATTAAGGACACCACGGTGAGAGTCAAAATGCTGTTTGTCTAATGAGATAGACCTCCAATAAATAACCTATAACCTCCAATAGAATACCTTTACTATCACCATGAATGATAATGGCATTCATGTACACAATATAAAATAAATCAAGAAAAAATGTAATAAAATAATACACAACACTGGTGTATGTGTTATATGGATCATTCTACCAAATTAGTTCAAAATCAAGGTTAAAAAAAAACTATTTTGCACTTTTAACATACACAGACCTTAGACTAAAATCATTTTGCTTTGAGTGACTTTATGCCTGACTTACGTTTATTTTAATAAAAGTAAATGATTGAACATTGAATGAACAAATTAATTTCTCTACCAACACAATAAAATACCTCCAAAACTTTTACCAAATGTTTTGGTAGTGACTGTTTTGTTGGTGACAATTGTAGCTCATTTTGAGCATAACTTCAAAATAATAGCCAGTACATGACAAGCAAACACAGCTGTGAACAGCTGTACACACACCAAATCATATTTTTTTTCATTAAAACACAAAAAAGTTACTTATACATATATAAAAATAAAAATGAGCTACTAATAAAATGTTTCCACCACAAATAGTACTAAACAAAAATCAGAGACCACTCCTCATTTATTTAGTTTAATAAAATGGCTATTAAGTATTGGTATTAATTTTTTAGTGTCTGAGAAAAAAAGCATAGACAAAGTTACACAGAAGCTGCGACAACTAAATACATTTTTTTAGTATTTTGTGTGTGCAACGTTTTCCTTTATACTGCCACCGGACATGTGTTTGATTATTGCTTTCTTTCACTCATTTCTACCCTGCAGTTCTGTGAAGTGATTTCTGTCAGCTGGCTGAAGCATCTTGCTGGAAATACAGTGCGCATCATGTTAGATTATGTCGATCATGTCAAGTTCTGCTCCAAAATGAAGGCAACTCTGATGGAGCAGAAACAGTGGCCAGAAATCTGTAAGATTCAAGGTGAGCAGCACAACAGATTTACTCATTTGTCTAACCTTGAACCTGTGTATTAAAGTATGCTTATGGTATTTTTGAGTCACTGTTAGCAGTGCATGAGCCTGAACCTGGGTAGACATACAGTTTCACATTTTACTTACTAAAGAGTTTTATTGTACTTTTGTTCTCTGAAAGTGCTTGAAATACCTGAATTTCATTCAGCATAGATGTGTAGAAATTTTAAAGCGATAACCCCCCCCCAAAAAATCTAATTTCCACAAATATTTTAATATAGTTGATCAGTTTTATTTTGTATTGGAGCTAAAAGCCCAATGTAGCTAACAAGTAATGGAAGTTTATGGAGACCAATTAGCATCCTTAGGATGCCAAACACTGCTTGGCTGACTGATTACATTCAGGGTAAGGGGACAATTTTGTACATTTTATTTTTAACCAAGTTATAACTTTAATCTCATAGTCATTGTTTCACTTCAACCTCAAATTGCCTGATTACGAAGTCAAAACAACAAAAAATGGTGCTGTTGTCCAAACACTTATGAATTGTTCCGCATATCATATCATCCTTTAGAGAACGCCCGCTCCTTGCAGCACCTCTGCCGGCTGAAGATCAGGCGTTGCTTGGGCCGTCTGCGCCTCAGGGCCCCGGTCTTCATGAGCTTCCTGCCTCTACCAAACCGCCTGAAGGAATACATCTTATACAAAGAGTATGACCTCTATGGTCAGAAGTGCCAAGGTCAGTCTAAGTGACATAGCTATAAAACAAATCACAGTTAAGAGTGACAGGCTGGAATGGACTGTTCTCTGTTCTTACAAATGAGTGAAATGAGTGAGTGATTGCTTTGACTGAGTGATTGATTTAGCCTGGCTGTTAGTACAAACTCAAACTCAAACTTCATTGACATCCACTTTCTATTAAATCAGGATGTTTATGTTGCAAATTGTTAAACAGCTTTGCTGAATTAATGACATAAATGTTTGTATGTATATGTTTTGTACCTAGCGAAGTTGTGTGTTGTTAATTTCGCAACTTTGGAAAAATAAAAAGTCTGCTCATGTTTGGTGTCACTGTGTGGTTTGTGTTTTAACCTTAATATGAAGAGTGGGCATCCTGAGAGCAAAAATGAATTATTCCTAAATTTGTTGTGCAAGAAGCAGTCAAGTTTTTGAGGAAATTCCATTTTAGTCATTCATGTCTTGTTCTTAATTCTTTTAGAGAAGAAGAAAAAGAGAAGAACAACACCTCACAAGCTTTAGGTCCCATGTTGATAGATATTGACTGACTGTATTAAAAGGAAATTCTTTTTTAAATATATTGTTTAGATGTAAATATAGTCATTCGGAGTGGTTTGATGGGAAATGCTCTGTTTTAGAGAAACCAAGTCAGAATTGTTCACAGTGGTGGTGATAGGAACCAGACGTCTGAAGAGTTTAGTGCCTCTGAAAGCTCCCACACAGAAAGTTATCAAAAGAATTGCCTACAAATGCGTTACCTGATGCCTGACTAATGTTTTCAGATTAACCACTAATTTGGCATTATCGATGTTACATACATAACCTCTGTAGGTTCACCGGTCATTTTGGATAGTAAATAAAATGGCTAATATTGTTTTGTAGACATCACAAGCCCTGGTTTCTGTCACCAGTACTGTAAAGAAGTCAGCAAGTTTCCCCAGAGTGAAGCTTTCCAATCAAACCACTCTGAATGACTTTGTTTCATTTCCACATTTAAAATAAGCAGAAGTTTTGAAAAAGTGGTGGAATTCTCCTTTAAGAAGTTCCACTGTTTTTAGGTAACTGTTTTTAGGCAGTTTTATGGGTAGCTCAGGACTTTTTGGGCCTGACACTTTCCTCAAGGTGGTAGTTGATTCTTACTTACTGCTTGAGTCAATATATTACTGAAGTAGTAACACTATTGCTTGAAGATGGTTATACTTCTTCTATCTCCAGTCAGGTCAACCTGTCTAGCACTAGTGTATTTAACAATTGGTGTGTTTACCAAATTATTAAATTTTTTACCAAAAAAAAAATGTTATTTTATTTATTGGGATAGAAATTACCTAATAAATTATGATTTTGTATATATTTAGCTTCTTACTATCTCTATTAATGTGATGGGATTTAAACCTATGATAACATAATATCTGAGGTCTGAATACATCAGTGTTTTTATTTTAAATAGTTTTTTACTGTAAGACTGCAGTTTATATGACATACGACATACAATTTACGTGACATATATTTATTGATTTTTTTATTTTAATTATACACTCATGTTCCAAGTTGTGTGCAGCTCTGTTACCAAAATTCACCCTGCCAAAAGCAGTGGAAAATCAGCCCTGTGATAACCTGGAAATCATCAAAACCATTTCTAATAACTCTAACAGCATGGCCAAGAGGGTAAATAGGTTTCAGTACCAGATTTTCATGCACATTATGGGACATAACTTTAACTAATTATAGTAAGTTTAAAAAATAAGCTAAAAATAAAACGTTTCCACCAATAAAGAACACAATAACACGATAAAAGGACACATTGCGTTTACCAAATAATGACATTTTTTAAATCAAAATTTCTGCAGTGAGAAAATAAAAAGGCTTTTATTTTATTAAAAGGTTGATGCTGTGACTCGTCGTCACAAGTCTCCCCCAATGAAAGCCAAAGAAACGGCGGAATATCCGTGTTTGTGGGAGGGCTGGTTAATCTGTCTGGGTGTCGGTTTTTGTCGGGAATAAAGCCACCGAGGAGATTTTTTCCAAAACCCTTTCAACTGTGCGGCGTCAGACAAACTCATAGTTCACGCCTTTTCGTTGAAATTACACTTACAGTCATGCCTGGAATTGACAAATTGCCAATAGAGGAAACGCTGGAGGACAGTCCTCAGGTAAACACGTTAGCTTGGCTGGCTAGCGGACTAGCTGGCTGCCTTTGCGAATAAAAGCGCGTCTCCGTTTGAAAATGGCAGCTTTTCTAGGTTTTCAGTCGTCGCTGTCAGTCAGGAAATATGCTTAAAATACTTAGAATACAGCGCGTTTACAGAGAATGTCAGTATTTACTGTCTTAGGCTCCTGAATGGGAGGAAAAGCTGGTTGGTGTTGACATCAGTGCAGTGCACACCCTCAGTGTTTACAAGCAGAGACGGGCAGGCTAACGCGTTAGCTTTGCACTTCATGTAAACAGTGCCGCTGTCAAATGCTCGCAGATGCTGAAGGGCTTATTAAACAAGCGTTGTTTACCGAGAAATTTGTGAGCATGTCTGTTTTGGTTGTGAAAGAAAGCTGCAATATTTTGTTCCTTTCGGCTGCCTCGTTTTGGTATAAATTCCAGAGAGCTACTTTTATTATTTTTGTCAGTCTTGCCAAGCAAAACCCAGAACAACTGAATAGTCAAACTGATTTTTTAGCTTTTCGGCAGTTTCGTAAGTCCGTATCTTGGCGCAGATGCTGAATCACTGACTTCCCTTTTTTTGTCTTTGTTATCTTTCTTGGTTCACCATGATTGTGTTGTAGTTATCTGTTGTGAAAACTGAAGGCAAAGGGTAAACTCTAGGGGGGAAAATATATGTGTGTGTCCATATATATAAATATATATATATATATATATATATATATATATGCAAAATGCGAGTTCCATGAGGTGCTTCAGTGTAAAACAGGATTCACTGAACTGCTTTTTCAGTACGTGTTGGAAGTCAGGCTACAAATATAAATAAATATGTATAATTTTATGTTAAGTATAGGAGTAGATATATATTTAATTCCTTAATGATAATGCAGATTTGTTGTGACAGTAGCCATCACTGCTTCATACATTTTACCATACAGTCAATGCGTTTTACACCCAACACTGTACTGTCTTCATATTTTAAGCAATTTTGACAGGCTAGTAGAACTCTGCATGTGAGTCTATTGTAAGTGTCATGGTAGAGCAGGATTCAAGCTCAGGGCAGCAAAGCACTTAGTTATCTTATAATGCTACATTCTCACCTTTCTAATTATGACACTTATTCAGATAGAATTTATTGTGCATCCCTAGTTGAAATAATGACAAAATGGGAATTTTTTCACATCTGAATTGCAGCATTCTTATAGGATGCTCTGATACTTTGATAAGATGGTCTAACATGCCTAGTTTTGATCATTGACAGTGGTTTCCACAATGAGACTGAGGGTCTTATTGGTGATACAATTAAACTGTCTTGAACATTCATTTTCTCAGTGCTGTATTGAAAATGTTACCTCCTTTCTAAATTCATATTCTCTGTTTTCTTTCTAGACACGCTCTTTGCTTAGCGTGTTTGAGGAGGACACAGCTACAATATCTAGCTACTACAATCAGCTCTTCCAGGCCATGCATAGAATATATGATGCACAGGTAACAGAGCTGACAATTAGTAAGGCGGCTTTTTTTCAGCACAAATGTTCAGTAATACCCTGAGAGAGTTTTCAATTTCCTTTATTTTAAAATGCAGCTTATGTGGTTTACAGAATGAACTGAGTGCTGCCACACATCTAACTTCAAAGCTACTGAAGGAATACGAGAAACAGGTGACCACTCTTCAGTATCTGATGCGCTTCAGTTGACATTTGTGTGGACTGAAAGATTGCAGCTGCCAAATGTAACACCAATGTGTCCAAGACACTGTTGTAGCAGTATATAAAGTAAACGTTTGCATTCATTTTATCGTCCTTTATGCTTGAAACTGCATTACTCTTACAGCGCTTCCCTCTGGGTGGCGATGATGAAGTCATGAGCTCAACTTTGCAGCAGTTTGCCAAAGTCATCGATGAGGTGAGAACAGTGCTAATCTTCGAGCTCCATCTCATCCTGTGCAAATGTGTTTTGATATTTTTAAACTTGTTCATCACCCCTCTCTATCTCTCTTTTCTCCACAGCTCAGCTCCTGTCATGCAGTCCTGTCTACTCAGCTAGCAGATGCCATGATGTTTCCCATCACTCAGTTCAAAGAGAGGGACTTGAAAGGTGAGAGGGAGCTTATCTTGGAGCCTTGCCTGCCTCATATAAGTGCCTACACAGTCACCTGCTACTTTATTAGAAACCCCTATCTTGTAAGTCTGACTTTTCAAGGTGTGGTTAATACATGGTATGTGTTAGCCTTTGTCTGGGCCTTCATCATTTCTCAGTCTTTGACCACAGAGCCACTCTTAGCTGGATATTTTTGGGTGGTAGACCGCTTTTAGAAGCCCCAGCAATACCACTGTGTCTGATGCAGTTGTACCAGCAACACACACAGGGCACTGTGTAGAGGGTAGCTGATAAACTGCAGCAACAGATGGGCTACAATCTGTAATTGTACACCTTCATTATTGTGTTCGTAAGAGACCAGTCTCGCATCATGAAAAACCAGAAAATGCAACCAGCTTCTAAGACTGAGCTTTGGAGGTGTGGAAACAATATAATAAAAAAGCAAGCCTCTCAGAAAGAATGGAAGCTGTAATAAAGGTCAATGGGGAACACACTAAATACCTAAACATTTTGTATTATATTTAACTGTTGAGGATTCTGTGTAATTTTCTGTTAAATATGTTTCTGATTTTGTGACACCATAAAATGAATAACTTGAACTTCATCTCAGTTTTGACTGGAAATTAAATAAATGAAGTGTGGTCATTGACTTGCACAGCACTGTAAATAGTGAACCTCTTAGGTAAATAGAACTTGTTAAAGTGGCCATTGAGTGCAGGTACAGGACAGGGGTTTCTAATAAAGTGGACAGTCAGTGTTTGTCCTATTCACCTTTTTTTCTGCTGTTCTTTCCTAGAAATTCTCACCCTGAAGGAGGTGTTCCAGATATCCAGTGATGGTAAGAATCAGTTTTGAGTCATGTGGCAAAACATTTACTCAGGTACACTGGCAGTACTTTTTCATGGATATAGCACTCACTGTTCCTTTTTTAACGATCTCAGATCACGACACGGCCATCAACAGATACAGCCGGCTATCTAAAAAGAAAGAAAACGAGAAGGTGAGGTGTTCCCTTTCACATGACATGGGATGAATTATATGGTGCAAACTTGCTATAGTCTTATACTCTTTCCCCAAGTATCCTCTCACTCATTCTATTGGATCTGATTCAGGTGATCTCCTAATGTGCTCAATCATACACCTCAGCGATTGTCTTCATTTAATGAAACACATACTGAGAGTTGGCTCAGCCAGTGCCAGAGGAACATATGTTACACGGATTTGGTTGGCTTCAGTCTCAACTCCTTGTGTGGGACAGGAAATTACTCCAGATCTGATTTTGAGAAGAACAAAAAGGGATTGAGGAAATGGATTAAAGTGATAGTTCAGCAAGAAGTGAAATTTATACACCTTTCCCCAACTCGTAATGTAGTCGATCAGCCAAGATATGTTTGCTGTCTGAAGCTTGCTTTCCTGAGTTTTTCATTGGATTCATGAGGCTAATGTAACTAACAAGTAAGGAAAGCTTATACCACCAGTTAATGCTGTACAAACTGCATCAAGTTTATAAATAATCTCCAGGAGAATTGCTCATATGTTTACAACATATTACCTATAAAAATGCACAAAAGAACATAATTCATGATAATTTTCCTCTCTTTTCTTTAAATAAAAAATTTGATGTGGCATGTAAACTTTGTTAAAGTTTGAAACGTACCATTCATTCCCCAGTCAGTATACAGAAACTGAGCTGTAAATACAGCCCGTTTTGATCTCATCATTTTTGTGATGTCGGGAAAACCAACATATTAACATATATCTGCCTATTCACCTTACAGCAGTTTGTCCCTGCCTATTTACAGTGAAGTTAAAAGGAAACACTGGGCAAGCCATTGATTTACCAGTCTTGTTTAATTCTAAGGAATGAAAAAGTGGTTGAAAAATGATCATAAAAATGAATTATGACTGGTTTTGGTACATTAACACATAAAAAATCATAAATAAACATCAGAGGTAAAATCACGTACTAGAACAATGTAAGATATAGGTCCTCTAACACATACAGGAATATAAAAAATGCCAAGATGCGCAGAGTCAAATACAATCAAATACACAGTTATGCTAGAGATTGTTGTATACTTTGTACTCTGATAGTGAATGATAATGAGTGAGCACTGACAGTGACTGGCTTTGCATAACACTGTGTTTTGATTTTCAGACATGACTTAGCTAAAATGAAATGAAGTACTAATCCAAGGCAATATTATCAAATTCTATTATGAGAAACCTGCTCTAATTCCTACCTCTATAACAGGTAAAGGGTGAGGTGATGGAAGATGTCTACACTTCCAGGAAAAAGCAGCACCAGACCATGATGCACTATTTCTCAGCACTTAATACACTGCAATACAAGAAGAAGATTGCCCTGTTGGAGCCACTGCTGGGGTACATGCAGGCACAGGTAAGGATAACAGGGTTTCTGCCTCTTCTAGCTTCTGAATGTTGGTTTGAATTCAGCTAGTGTTTGGAGACAGCTGTCACAAAGCTTAACCAGAGATCTGTTTGAATGTTCATGTTTCATGCTTTTCTTTATCTTTATTAGATCAGTTTCTTCAAGCTTGGATCAGAGAACCTAACACAGCAATGGGAAGACTTTCTCACTAACATTGGGACCAGTGTACAGAAGTAGGTTTTATGATTTGTCCTGCATACTAGCATGCATCGCTTTTCATGTTATCTCCTGGTAGTAGTATTTGTCTCTTCCCCAGTTGTTGCATATTATTTAGCATCTCCTAGAATTAAGAGAACTAGACATAGTTTGCTTATGCAGGTTCATGTCAATATCAGATTATATGACATACATGACTGCTTCTTTACAATGTTGACTTTAACTTTAGGTCACATGAGAATTATAATTTTCTCTTTTAATGTTTAACTAAAGGCAGTGGTGATAAGTAGGTCTGCAAGCTCTTGTGTGTTGGAGCGCTTGTACACTGTTTGCCTTTATGCAAAGAGTAGCTCCGCTGTTTGTGTTGGACTGAGTATCAAGAGTGGTTATCAACATGCGCACAAATGTGTGTTTGCAGTGTCCGCAGGGAGATGGACAGTGAAGTGGACGTAATGCAGCAGACCATACAGGATCTGGAGCAGGCCAGTGACCTGTTATATATGCCAGACCCCGACCCCAATAAGATCCCCATCAACCGCAACCTGACCCGCAAGGCTGGCTACCTCAACACCCGCAAGTACGGGTGCTATAATGCTGGTTTATACACGCTTCAGAATACGTTCAGAAATAATATTTCTGCTGAAATAAAAGCATTATGAAGACCTGTATTGGTCTGTAGCTGATGAATACAAGCAGAACCTGACCGATATATTGTTTCTCTGATAAAATTGGCAAATATTGTAGTTTTGGTTCATTGGCATCAGTTGGATTTTTCACCAAGAAAGCACAAATAATGTCTCTTTAAATGCAATATAAGAAAAAAAAACAAACATATTGTCAGGTGTCCTCCTTACAATGGGTATCAGTATCAGTGACAAAATTTCTTACTAACTAACATTATGCCATGTTTCTTACGTTATGTCTCCTGTTCAGTAAAACAGGGTTGGTGTCGTCCACCTGGGACCGGCAGTATTTCTTCACCCAGGGAGGCAACCTCATGAGCCAATCCCGAGGAGATGTTGCAGGAGGGTTGGTCATGGACATAGACAACTGTTCCGTCATGGCAGTAGACTGTGAGGACCGGCGCTTCTGCTTCCAGATCTCTGCCTTTGATGGCAAAAAGTATGTTTGTTAACATCAGTGCTTGGGTCACATATTAGAAAATCTATATGTGCTTTTTCTCTCCAAAAGGGATTATCAAAAGCTCCAGTTTCATTCATGTAGTTTTACTGGCATCCTTTAAGTAATGGATTTGTAGATCTCGAATAAGAACCTTACATAAGAACATTCATTAAATTCATTGTACACTGGGGAATTACGTTAACGGATCGTAGTCCTGTTGTCTCTGAATCTGAAGTGTTCCTGGAGGTTATTTTTTTAACAATGGCTTAGTTTACAAACTGGATGAACAATTCACGCATCCTTTCTGAGCTCAAGTGCTGAGCAGTGACTCATTTCTAGTCACTTGCTCTACAAAAGCCCCATTCAGTACTTATTCTGTGCTGTAATTTCGTCTCTTCACCACAGGGTTGCTATTTTGCAAGCAGAAAGCAGGAAGGACTGTGAAGAGGTAGTGGAACTTCTACAATTAAATGCTTAATTTTCCATATTTGAGAATAAAAAATTACTACAAATTTCACATATGATCTTTTCTTTCAGTGGATTGCAACAATAAATAACATCTCAAAGAGGATATACCTTAGTGAGAACCCTGAGGTACGTCTAAGATTAAAACTGTACAGTTACTCTGTTTTGCAAGTTGTATGACAAGACTGAAATGCATCCATCGCACAGGCTTCCTAGACATGTATTGAGCCTAATCTTGGATTAAATTACAGTGGTAATGGAGAATTACCATTGTTTTTTTGTTTTTTTTAATCTATGCTTAGGCTTAATCTGGGCCTAATAAATTACACCATTATACTTAATTTCAGTAGATAAAATGCTGTATAATGGAAACATTTCTTTCCTGTTTATAGGAAACTGCTGCCAGAGTCAACCAGTCTGCTCTGGAGGCCGTGACGCCTTCCCCTTCATTCCAGCAGCGGCATGAGAGTTTTAGACCCAGCACGTTAGTATCTACCCTGCTGCACAAGCTGATATGGTTACATGGTTTTGTTCTCAAATCAGACCAGACTTCCTATTCCTTAGTAAGGAAATAATGGTGATTTGATACTGATGGTTCTAGGCAAGGGCGACCCAGAGCTGGCCGGACCAGCAGCCAGAGCTCAGCAGGTTCTGAGTCTCCAGCTCTCTCTTCCCTCTCTCTGGACTCTCTGGTGGCTCCAGACACCCCCATCCAGTTTGATATAATCTCACCAGTCAGTGAGGAGTATGCAACCCAGGCAAAAAGTGCCAGCCAGGGCAGGTCAGTAGCTTTATATTTGAAAAGTTGCCAAGTCATGAGAGTTTTAATAACAAGCAAAGATTTCTTTCAAAAGTGATTTTAGACTTCCAAATTCTGTGAGTGATAAAAATTTTCTGTTGTATGTACTTTTCTTTTCTTTTGCTGTAACAAATGTGTAACAACATTTGTATCATTTTTTGACATGGGGCAAATGTAAAAAGGTTGGCATTGCAGACTCATCCGTCAAAACAGAATGTTAACCGTAACTACATGTAATTACTTAAGTAACTAACGATGAGATTAGTTATCTAATTGTGTAATTATATTTAAATAATTACATAATGCAAATCAAATACATAACAAAATCACAATAATAACTCTAGGGATTTCTAAGGATTAAGCACTTATGGTTTGGCAACAGGTCTCAAAAGTTAAGCTGTCCTCTTCACACCCAGGTCCTTCCTCAGATCACAAGTCTCCAAGGATCACAGAGTTAAACTATTTTGCGTTCACTACTGAAATAATAGCTTTGCTTTTTTGTACTTTTCTTGAAAGAAGGACCAACCCATTTGGGGAGTCTGGAGAGTCGCATTCTGGAGATAGTGAAGGTACGTGTTCCATAAAGACTTTAATCTCTTGTAGAAGGCAATTAAAGATTGTGTGCTTATTCCATGCCTGTCATGAGCCCAAATATCTGAGTTTAAAACATAACTCACTGATTTTCCAGAGTCCATCTTGCATCAGCTCTTCATTGTGCGCTTCCTGGGATCCATGGAAGTGAAGGCCACAGAGAATGCAGATGTAATCTACGAGACTATGAGGCAGATCCTGGCTGCCCGAGCCATCCACAATATCTTCAGGATGACTGAGTCCCACCTGCTTGTTACCTGTGACTGTCTGAAGTAAGATGTAGCCCTCAAATTCAATGTGTAAAGCAGCTCAGTATATTGTTACTGTTCTTCACTGCTTACTGGTAGTGTTCCTTTTTCTGTGTTATCAAGAGTGAATTGTGTCAATGTTGTGTCCATGTTGCTTAACATGTTCTGTAAACCTATTGTTTTTTTAGGCTCATTGACCCACAAACACAAGTCACAAGATTAAGGGTAGGTTTGATTATAAACCGTACAGCTTTTTTCTTGGGCTGTCCATATATGGGTCCTCCATAAGGACACTGGGCCCATAATGAAGCTTTGTTGATGTAGATCATTATTTATGAGCTGATCCTAGATCAGAATTCATATTCTAAATAAAATATGAAGCATGATACAAATACTCAACAGCTCTCTTCCACTATCTGCAGTTCCCTCTCTCCAGCGTGGTACTGTGTGCATCTCATCAGGAGAACAAGCGGCTGTTTGGCTTTGTGCTGCAGACAGCCGGAGGCCGGGTAGACGGGCGCCCAGTCACTGTCTGCTATATTTTCGAGTCCAATAATGATGGGGAGAAGGTACAAATAAAACAGTCTGAGGCATATGCATGATCTGTATTATGTGTATGCAGATGCATATGTGTAAACAGCATTATGATGAATCTTGCATATGAATGTACAGAAAGGACATTCCACATGTAATCCTGATCACACATATTTATACACATTTATAACATGGAAATTTGGACCGAATCTGGATTAACATTAGAGAGAAATATAACATTTATTTATGTACGGTAGCCCTGCCCCTAGAGGTCTATGGCGCTGCAGACTTTAGTTCCAGGCCTAATCTCACCCACCTGGTCTGACTAATCAAGGCCTTCATTAGCATTTGAATATTACGGCCAGGTGTGTTGGAACTAAACTTTAGATTGAGTAGGCTGAATTGAACAGTTTACATATAATTTAGCTCTGAAACATTGTTATGGGTTTAAGAACTAGTTTGTACACAGTTGCTCTCAGAAAGAATTTGACATTTTGAATATAACATGAATTTTAACTTGCACACGTTCAAGCCATACAATAAGGTCCCAGTGTCTGTTATCAGCTTAAGTTGCCTTTTTCCCTTTTCAGATCTGTGATAGTGTAGGACTGGCAAAACAGATAGCCCTCCACTCAGAAATGGTAAGAGCCTTTTTAGTCTTACATCATGACTATTAACCCCCGGAAAACGGGGAAAATACTCTTATGACTCTTTCTGCCTCGGAAAATGTATATAACTTTTATATGTATATTATATGTATATATAAATTTCAGTGTAGAGTGTTATAGAAAATCTTGGTGATGCATTCTTGTTCTTATGAACCTGCTGTGTTTCTTGACAGGATCGCAAAGCCACACAGAAGCAGAGGGAGATGGACAAGGCCAAGGAGAAGCAACAAGAGGAGCTGAATAAACAGAAACAGATCGAAAAGGTACAGTGAAATTTAGATGGTGGTTTGAAGGTAACGCACCATATAGACATTCAAAGTGTAGGCTGTTAGAATATTTGAAATGTAAGCCTGGGCAATAAACAATATTTACTGTTAACATGATCATTTCAGTCACAGTATGTCATAGTACACTTTTCTGATCATACCATGGATATGTTTACTACTTTAACACTTACCAAATGCATGTTGATTACAAAGACAGAATAATTAGGCCTGGTTAATTGGATTTAGTGCAACACAGTATGTGCAATGTTGAATACAAATCAATTTTATTTTTAGTTTGATCAGTTATCAGGAAAATAATATCATATTGTGTATCATGAAAACTTATTGTCTATTGTGATAGTACATTGTTGCCATATCGCCCACCTGTACTGGAACTGTAATTAACACTTTCCTTGTAGACCATGTTTTGAGACTGGAGCTCAACTGTAACAATTTATGTTAGTCATCCTCTAGTTCTTCATCAGTGGTCAGTTCCTGATGTTCCAAAGCCACTCTTATCTGGATATTCTTTGGTGATGGACCACTCTCAGCTAAGCAGTGTCATTGACGTGTAGACATGTCTAACACACCAGTATTGTAACAGCACCACACATGCTACCATGTCAGTGTTAGTACTGTGCTAAGAATGATCCACCACCCAAATAATTTTTGGACAACAGCAGTCCTGTGGTCAGAAACTGACCAATGATGAATGAGGTTGAGGGATGGCAATGCATTTTGCAGCAACAAATGTCTGTAATTGTACACATTGTACTTTATAATGATCTAAAATGTAGATGGAGCTCATACAGTGGCCAGTGACAGTGAAACTGGACAGTGAGTGTATATAGACTATTACTTTATTCCAACAATAATATACTGCTAACATTGCACTCTTGTTATTTTAAACATTCACTCACTGGCCAACTTGTTGGGCACACCTGTATGTGTTAGTCCTCCTTTATCCCATTTATGAATGGTCAGGACCCCTACAGGACCACCACTAAGCAGGGATTATTTAAATGGTGGATTGTTCTCAGCACTGCAGTCACTCTTACGTGGGAGTGACATGTTAATGTGTGTTGCGCTGGTAGGAGTGGAATTTTGAACAGTGTATCCACTCAGTGTCCACTCTATTAAACATGTCTACCTTGTTGCTCCAGCTTGTAGATGTAAAGTTAGTGACTGCAGCTCATCTGTTGCTGCTCAGATTGTGTTGGTCATTCTCTAATCCTTCATCAGTGGACAGTTTCTGGCCACAGGACGCTGTTGGTGGGATACTTTTGGTTGGCTGACTGTTCTCAGTCCAGCAGTGACACTGAGCTTTTTAAAAAGTCCATCCACTAATATTTCACTACCACGTCAGCGCAGAGAATGATCCAGCCCCCAAATAATACCTCTGGTAGTCCTGTGGGGTCCTGACCTCTGTAGAACAGGGTAAAAGGGGCACCTTTATGGTGCAATCTAATAAAATGGACAATGAATGTAAATATAAGATAGCTGTACCTAATAAATAGGTCAGTTAATGTATTTCTGCCATTAATGCTCATGTCAGTACATATTTATAAATTGTTACACTCCATGCTTGTAGGATCTTGAGGAACAAAGCCGTCTGATAGCTGCCTCCAGCCGGCCAAACCCTCCAGCTGCTGACGGACAGTTCCTAGTCCTTAGCAACAGCCAATCAGAGGACAGCGATGCTGGGGAGGAAGGGCGGAAGAGGGGCGAATCAGAGGCTTGACAGAAAGGAGCAGGAAAATAAAGTTGATCTCTATGTGAGTTCAGCTTTTTTCACAAAAAAAAACTTAACAGCAGGTCTTAACAGCGTTTCCTTCAGGGCTTTCCTGATTCACTAAAGGAAATGAGATTTGCAAGATGACTGCAGAAATATTAAAGAAGACACATAAATACAGGAATGAGGAGTCAAAATCGTTTTACATGCAGACGGATTGGGAGAGTCTCCTGGGAGCTTGTGTTTAATTTGTAAGAATCATGTATTTTGTACTGTTTACGTTACTGAATTATATCTAAAACACACTTTGAGTTCTTTTCGTGTGTGTGTGTTTGCGTGTGTGTGTGTGTGTGTGTGGGTATAAATTGGTGCACTACATTGTAATACTAAAAGCTTAAGAGATGAATGGATGGATGTATGCAATGATTTTTTTTCCTGAAGAAATTACACATGTGAATAACAAACATTTATAACGGACTTGTATTAATACTGTATATTTTACATTTGTTGTCATATGCTCTAACAGGCTTGCATGTGCTTCAAGTCATATCATGTAGATCCGTAACTGAACTGTAACAAGTATTGACATTTTCCATTTACGGTCATCTATGTAGAAGGATTTTGGCACTGTGGGCGTGGTTTTGTTGACGTAGTCAATCATCTGTGTCTCTTTTTTTCTCCCTCAAATAACAAAACGCCGAAACGCACTTGATTTGTTTAAATAAGACTGCCAAAAATTCTCTGATTAAGCATTTTAGGCAGATGATTTTTAGGAAGATTGTGATCAACATAGATACGTATTTACGTAGATTACATATGATTTAAAACTGCTAGCTTTTTTTAGCAGTTAAAAATAGAAAGGCATTGTTTCCGTTCAGCTTCAAAACATGGCATGTGGTATAGTTTATTTTAAAAATGAGCATTAGCTCATATGATTGTTATTATTATTTTATATTCTTGTTTTTTGAGCCGCAGACGACTTGTCAGTTGGCAACGATACTGTCGGAGTAGCAGAACTAGGCATGCATTGTCTACACTTTGGCCATTTTGCAGCTTGAGTATGAGGGCGTAGGCCAGAAAACGTGCGAGTTATTCAATGAAACTATTTTATAATTTGGCCTGTTTGACCACCTGCCTTAACCCTTTAACACTATCCTTTATAATGATCATACTGTATTGATGCCAATGTCATGGAAGCACCTCTTACATTTAAATATGAGGAGTCTGAACCAAGTCTGTTTTGGTTTTGTGTCATTTATTTACTAATTCTGACTTTGAGTGAAATGGTTTGTCCTGTGTAAATGTGTTTCTTTAAGAATTATCACTGACTTTTCTCCTGAAGCACACCTGAGCTGTGTAACGCCCATTTGAAATGACTGTTAATTCTTATTGGCATATAAACAGAACTGGCCCAGTGAAAGCTGGTCTATAATGAATTATGTCCTTAATAGTATGATTTGCTACATGTTTTATGTTCTAATGATGGAGAAGGTGTTTCTTTTGAATTGTGATTAGCTGCACACAAATGACATTTGTCAAATATATTTCAGATGGATGCCACTTTGAGATGTGTCATATTTTTTTGTCCAGATCATGATGGTTTCAAATATATCAGCCCTCTAGTGAACATATTTAATTTTCCACAACAATTGAGCCAAATGTCTGTGGTTTTGGATAATGAATAAACAGATGTAAGAAACATTAAACCTATTAATTGTAGGAGATAATTACACCTAATACTTGCAATGTGGTAATATTTACAAAGAATGAATGGTTACAAACAGATCATCTATAAAGACGTGCAGAGTAACCTTGCTGATTTTCTGAACCAGTAAAAAAAAAATCCACTGACTGTTCAAAATGCATAATTCAACAGAAATTCAACAGTGTCAAGTTTTTCAGAGTGGTTTGATGAGAACTTGTTCATTGTAGAAAAAATCTTTCTGATTTATTTATAACAGTGGTGATGGGAACCAAAGGTTGCAATGTCTACTATTCAACTATAGCCATTTTATTTACTATCTAGGCAAAATAGTAGTAAAAATACTATACTTCCCATACTAAGCCCTGCACATACCTCTCTGCCAAGAATGCATTTCATTTAATGACTTTCTGAGGCACACACGCTTCAGACGTCTGATTCCTATCATCACCGCTGTGTACAATTCTGACTCTGTAAGTTTCTCTAGAACAGCATCTCAAATCAAACCACTCTGAAAGACTTTGCTTACATCTACACCATTTAATTATGCTGAAATGTTGAAAAGCTGGTGGAATTCCCCTTTAAGTCTGGAAAAGCTTTGTGATTTGTAATCACTACTGGCAGTAAGTTATTATTGATTTTACATTAACTTTGATCACAGAGTCATGGTGTCCATATCAGGTTTCGGCATTGTTCATAAATAATTCCACAGATTTTTCAAAATTTCTGTAGAACTCAGTCATTAAGATGTGAGCAAAATAAAGTACTTAAAGTGGTTTGATGTGAAATTATTGATTTTAGAAAAACTTCCCAGCTTAGTTTTCTTTACGGTGGTGCTGATAGGAGCCAGGGGTCACAATGCCTACAACGCAAATATAGCCATTTTATTTACTATCCAAACCCACCAGTCAACCTACAGTGTCTTGTGAGTTTTTATATGTGAGGTAATGATAGTAAAATAGTGGCAACTCTGAAAACGTTAGAGGACTATTTTGACTCACAACACCCTACATGTACCCCTCCGCCATGAATCGCTTTTTAAAATGTATGTTTTGGGCCGAAACTTTAGTAAAACAATTCGTCAGACATCAGGGCAGCGTATTTAACTATAACCCCATTTCCAAAAAAGTCAGGAAAAAACTAAATGCAATGATGTGCAAATCATTGAAGCTATATTTCATTGAAATAGCACAAAGGGCGTATTGTGCTATTTATATTCAAATAAATGGGCATATATTTTTCAAAAATAATTACATTTCTCAGTTTCAACATTTGATTTGTTGTCTTTGTACTATTTTCAACGAAACGTAGCGTTTAAATGATCTGCACATCATTGCATTTTGTTTTTATTTACATTTTGCACAGCGTCCCAACTTTTTTGGAAATGGGGTTGTAAATAATTCAATAACTTTCTGTGAGGGAGCTTTTAAACGCTTCAAGCATCTGGTTCCTATCACCGCCACTGTAAACAATTCTGACAAACCACTGTGAATGACTTTGTTTACATCTTAACCGTTTGATTATGCACAAATTTTAAAAAAATCGGTGGATTTCCCCTTTAAGTACTGTTATGGTATTAACACCTATGGCAGGTACTGAATGGAATCCCGTAGAATGCTGTTGAATTTGAACACTGCAAACTTAAAACTTACTCAATTTGCTAATATTAGTTGAAGTTAACCTGAAGTTTAAGCGTAGTTAAGTGTTAGTTTAAGCGTGATTTGACTCATAATAGCCTCTTTTTATTGTACTCTGTAGCCATTTCCATCTAAAGCCTAATTGGCCTGCATTCGGTTTGCATTTAAACAGCTGTAATTAGTCAGACTTTGCATGACAAAAAAAGTGCAGCGCTTCGTGCACTGAGCCCAAATCTGTGCGAGAGCGAGGCGTAAGCAAATAAACAACAAACAAATAACTTATTTACTTAGAGAGAATGGGAAAAGTGATCAGGCGAGTCAGTGGCACTCGCCGAAGTCCTATTGTGTGATTTGTATGGACCCAGCCATCCCTGTGCATGACAAGAGGAGGGAATATTCAGGAGGATTAACTTTAATAGCCTTAACCCCGTCTTTTATTATCATTATTATTAATTATTATTATTTTAAACGAGATTACGCGCTAGCTGACTGCTCCCCCACAATGCTCTCCGCTCGGCTGAAGGAAATGAGAGGATTTGGTGGGAATGGAGCTCATTTTCTACCTGATGGGTAAAAATAAAGAGCCGGTTTTGTCTCTGAATGCGGGTTTTGAATGACTCCGTGTCCCTGCTAGGGGTCCTGGGTGGCTGCGGCTTCGTTTTTACACGGGATTACCTGTAAAGCCCCTCAGCTCCATTCACACGCAGGGCTGGTTTAGTTTAATTAGCGCGGGGTGTTAATCCCGCAGGTTGGGCTTTAAAAGGCTCCGGCTCCGGGCAGCAGGTCAGACTGACCGCATTCACTCTCACACACACACATGGCGGCTCACCGCTCAGGACCCTCGGCCTTCACCATCGCCAGCATCCTGGGGCTGAGCAGACCAGAGCAGAGGAGCAACATGAGCATCCCGTACCGACCGTGGGCAGGTAGGCAGCACGGCTAGCACCGCTCTGCAGTGCTGAAAAGACTCTTACACTGCATAAAATTAAAAGTCAGCTCAACCTAAAGAGGCACTTTTTTCTGAAATAATTCTGCATAATTAAATGGTTGAGATGTAAACAAAGTCATTCAGAGTGGTTTGGTTTGAAATAATCCGTTCTAGAGAAACTTACAGTCAGAACTGTTTACAGTGGTGGTGATAGGAGCCAGACGTCCACCTCTAAAAGCCCCCTTACAGAAAGGTCTTACATAAAATTGTTATATATTTGCTGCCTGATGTCTGACACATTGCTTTATGAGATTTCTGTGATCATTTTGGCTTAAAATGTATTTTAATCCATTCATGGCGGAGGGTCACATGCAATGCATTGTAAGGCAAAATAGTCACCAAAGAAGAGTTACCACTATTTTACCATCATCAACATTACATATGAAAACTCACAAGACATTGTAGGTTCACTGGTGATTTTGGATAGTAATTAAAATGGCTGTATTTGTGTTGTAGACATGGTGACCCCTGGTTCCTATCACCACCACTGTAAAGATATCTGAGTGTAAATTTCTCTACAGTTAACTATTTCGCATCAAACCACTCTGAATGACTTTGTTACATCTCAGTGACTGAATTATTCTGAAATTTTGAAAAAGTTATGGAATTCCTCTTTAAAATTAAGTCAATCTTCTGCTTAGCTTTTTCCCCTCAGCTTAGTTTTGCAAACAATTAAAAGCTCTTCTCATTGTGCAATCTCTAAATTCATCACTTAAGAGTGGGGCGACCGTCTAACTGCCTGATTAGTCACAATGTAGAAGTTGAAAAAATGGAGAAAAAGCTAGGCAGAAGACTAAAGAAGGTTTTAAAATTTCACCTTGACCTATTAATATTTTACAGTGTAGTGATGAGTGAACTCATTTAATGATGGCTGAACTTATATGATGTCTTGACACTACAGTGTCAACTGTACAGAATTACAGAACAAGCTTTGTGGAATTTTTCTTTATCTAGGGTTAGATATAATTGTTGGACGTAATTGTGTTAATTAGCATTGAATTAGCTGAATACCTGAAATGGTTAATTCATTGGTTAATTTAACTCTTTTAATGTTTTAACTCTTATACTACTGTATTAACACAGTGCTGAAATCCTGTAATCCTGTAATTCAATTCCTGTACTGCTGTGAAATGCCTGGTTTTGTGGACATGGATTAAGCTTGGTCCAGGACTAAATTGTAATGTGAATGGTGTTTTACCAATAAAAAGCCTTTTTGGTCAAGGATTAAACTTAATCTGAGTCTGGGAAACCGGCCCTTAAACTGCTTAATTGCGCTGTTGGGTTGAACTGTTAGTGTGCTGTTAAGTCTTTACAGTGCTGAATGAGCAGCTATAGTTTTCAGTTACCTCCTACAGTGTTGAATTAACTGTCGATGTGCTCCATTAATTCTCATAGTGTTTAGCTGACTCTTAGGCCAGAACTGGCCCTGTTTAGGCCTAAATTAAATCTAATTCTAGACTAAAAATAAATTTCAATGGTGATTCCCCACTGGCACTTCAGCTGGACCATAGAACACACACAGTGTTGAATTAACTCACTTAATTCACACTTAATACTTACAGTGTCATTTTTACCAGACCCAGATTAAGTCAACAACTATGATTCACCTGTGATTCACCACTGGCACTGCAACTTAGTCTAAGACTAGTCCTAATTCATGTCCAGGAGGCCTGACCACAGTTTTTAATTCACTCCTACAGTGTCCATTTGTGTCACTTTGGACTTTTATATGTAGATGTTTATTGAGCACTGGGGATTTTGCTGTGTACTGTAGGTGTAGACGAAGCTTTTGAACTATATTAGCATAAACTTCTCACTGACATGTGATTCAATTCCTTCAGACGTGCCATCAACACAGAACTGTCACACTGTAACGGCTGACGGGTCACTGGATGTGGCAGCTGAGGAGGAGAAAAGCGCAATCACAGCTCCAGTGGAAAGCTGCAGACGAACCCTCAACTGGTATATAGGACGCAGGCCACGCACGGCTTTCTCCAGCCTACAGGTACATGCAGTAGAAGTGAATAAGATTTATGTGTTTTGAGCATATCTGTGTGTAATTCTGTATTTTTGGCAATATTGAAAAAGCCTAGTTCTTTCAACCTTACATACCCTACATCAATGATATCTGTTTTCCTGCGTTTCATTACTCATTCTCATCTTTTAATTGCGGTATCTAGATTGAGATTCTTGAGAGTGTGTTTCAAGTGAACTCCTACCCTGGAATTGATCTGCGGGAGGAACTTGCTCAGAAACTGCATCTCGATGAAGACAGAATACAGGTACAGAGAAACACCACAGTCTGAGGAAGCGTGCTGATAAATTTCAGTCTCATTCTGTATTTGGGGCTCGCTGGTTGATTTTGATTTGAGACTGAAACAGAGGGTCTGCAGTTCAGCCTTTTTCATGCTGCATTTAAAGGAAAGAAAGAGAAAATCTGTAACTGTTGGCTCTGTTATTAATAGGGATATTAAATGCATCAGTGCATTGGGATGCACCAGTTCACAGGATGGTTGGGCCTATACAATTCACACAATAGCACTTTGGCGAGTGCCACTGACCCATCTGACCACTTTGCCCGTTCTCTAAGTAAATAAGTTGTTTGTTTGTTATGATGCACCAATTAAAAAACAATGTTTTATATTAAAAAACAACCAGACAAAAGAAACCTGACAGACATAAAATGACTTTTATATTTTTATTACTTCATACTGCACAATGACATCGGAATCGTATCTGTATCAGCAGATAATTGCTTAGAGAATTAATGAACATTTGGATTTGACCAATAATTCAAACTGATATTTGATGATGTAATTATTGTTTAATATATTGTATAACTATGAATATTTATGTATTGACATCAGCAGATATAACTTTCTGTTAGAGCTTCAATGATGAACTTTTGAGTAGAAAATAATGTATTATTAATAGAACAAAAGTATGTGCTCATGTCTTTGACCAAAATAATTCTCAAAAATGAATCATGAATGGTTTAAAATGACTCCACTAACAGTTATTAGATCATAAACTCCTTCCAAATCAATAATATGCAGTCAAAACCCCAAATTTCACAAGTGAGCTGTTATATCTGGTAAAGCTCACAGGTTCCATGCTGACTGAAGGATAAGTAACCAGCAAGATCTGAGGTTTAACAGTGTAGATTAATATGGGCTCAATATTTGGCAAGCAACAGGCCACTGTTGCCCTTTTTATTGAAATGTTATAAGTGTTTATTAACAATTAACAAAAGGTGTTATGACCTAATTAATAACCATTAGCAAACCCATTTTAAGCCATTCACAAACCCTTTGAGGATAGTCTTATTGTAAAGTGTTACTAAGTTTGATGTGTAGCTTAAAGCTGTTAAATATTAATGTGTGACAATCCACAAACTGAAGGATGGTAAATCACTAGACATGATTTAGTTTATATGACCTGTCGAATTCAGAAGTAAACGCAGTGATGTTTTCCTCTGTCTCCTGTCAGATCTGGTTCCAGAACAGAAGAGCGAAGCTGAAGCGATCACATCGAGAGTCACAGTTCCTCATGGTGAAAAAAGTCATCACTGGGCTCCAAGGCAGAGATCAACAGTGACTATAATAGCTCCCCTCATTACTGTTCCTTATAATATTGTAATATATTCTATTGTGACTCCTTCGGTCTGCAAAGTGGTGTATTTAAAATTGTTTGTCTTAATAACTTAAGTGCTTCTTTTTGTTTTGTGGATTAATAAAGCAGCTAATTATTAAAGAAATACATGGTTTTGACATCACACTTTGAGTGTGGCAATTCTGTGGACTTCACAGTTGGCCTTTCCCTAAAGCTTAATTCCATAAGCACTTAACATTAGATAAAGAGCTTCACGAGAATCCAATTTGCTCTCTCTATAATTGAGGGTGATTATGAGAGACAAAGAAGCTGCTATAGAGGGAAGAAGCTGTACTGTGAAGAACAGCAGCAGGGAAACAAAGTTTACTCCCAAGCATCTAAGTATCCAGACAGCAGTTCTAATTCAGCTACTTTCAAATGAACCCATTGCTGATGCAGGTATGCGTGTTGTGCACACATCTTGTATAATCTCCCCAGAATAGCATTGACCAATAGAATGGGATGCTCTGGAGCAGCCACACATAAGGCCACCATAAGAATGCTAAATTCTCAGCATCAGCTAAAGGAGTGTAAAGTCCTCCCCAGCATTGAGCTGTGGAGCAGTGGGACTGCATTCTCTGGAGTGATGGAGCTCCATCCAGTACCTTTGGGATGAGTTTGTGATCCAGAGCTAACCATCCAACATCAGTACTAGACCTCATAAATGCTCTTGCGGCTGAATGCAGTCAAATCCTCACAGCAATGTTCCAACATCTAGTATAAAGCCTTAATAGAAGAGTAGAGGGTGTTACTGCAGCAAAGGGGGGACAAACTCCACTCCCTACTCTTGATTTCAGAAGAAACGTTGGATGTGAAGTGTGTCTACAAACATTTGGATATAGATATATCAGTCTAATGCGTTCACACTTAAGTCAAAGGATGAGTTACAGACATTACACTGTAAAAAATGTCTCATCAGTTCAACCTAAAAAAATTACTTAATGTAGTAACAAGCAATTAAGGCAGTTTTATTCAACTCAAAAATTACTTTGATTGAAAAAAGCACGGATGGTGTGCTGGCACAGTGGGTAGCACTGTCACCTCACAGCAAGAAGGGCCTGGGTTTGATTCCCCAGCCAGGCAACCAGGGTCCTTTCTGTGTGGGTTCTCCCATGTTCTTCCTGTGTCTGCATGGGTTTCCTCCCACAGTCCAAAGACATGCATTCAGGCCAACTGGACATGCTAAATTGCCCCTAAGTGTGTGTGTAATGGTAATGTCTGTCTGTCTGCCCTGTGATGGACTGGTGACCTGTTCAGGGTTTATCCTGCCTTTCACCCAATGACCACTGGGATAGGCTCCAGCACCCCCCTGTGACCCAGAAGGATAAGCGGTTTAGAAAGTGTATGTGAAAGAATCGTTCATTCAAAGTATTTATTTATTTTTACAGCTTCCTACACTGTAAAAAAATAATTTACTTGCTACTACATGAAGTAATTTTTAAGGTTGAACTCAAGAGCCATTTTTACAGTGTACAAGTGATATAATCCTATGCAGTTGTAGAGTCCTACCACCATATCAGAATCATATTTTATATGTGTATCTGCTGCACAGTTGGTTTTTATATTATTGTAAACAATGAGCCTCATTCTCCAATATCTTTCAAAGTATTTTCTCAAACGTGTTCTTGAAAAAGGTCCTAAGAAACAGTCTACGTTTGAATGTCTGAATCTCCGTAAGTGGGTTTTAGGAAGAAATTTCTTCTTAAGGATGGTTGAGTTTAATGAGTTTGAGTAGTAGAGTTTAATGGTGGCAGCAGCAACATGTAATGAAAAATACAAACTGACTTTCCACAATACAATGTAATCATTGAGCATGACAGTAACAAAAATTGGCAGAAGAGCTCATCTTAAGGGAAATTAGTAAAATCAATATAATCAGAATAGAAGAATTAGCATGTAATTGTATAAACGGTCTTACAGTTGTGCAAATGAGCAACTACAGAAGGTACCAAAGGAGAAGTATACTAGGGAAAGACTAGAGTAGCCTAAAAGCACACTGATTGACTCAAGAGCATGTAAATGTAACAAAAAAACAGTTTTATGTTCAAAGGTTTGTGTTTATTCAGTGTTTCTTCTGAAATCATGGGTATTAATAAGGAGTTTGATTTGATTCAGTTCAGCCACTGGAGGTCTTTATACCCCCCTAGCTGACTCTTCGTACCTTAGGCTCATGTGCAACTGCTTCAGAGTGTCCTGTTTTTTGGCAAAGCTTTTCAATGGATACAAGCTGTATGTGCATGTCTGTGAAATCCATCAATGGATTTTAAATATGTTAAGGTCAAAAGCTTATCTTTAAACTATCATAAAATAATGTATCAGGCATCAGACAGCGTATTCATAACAACTGCGTAATAATATTTCTGCTAAGTATATATTAGAGGCACTAAACTCTTCAGAGGTCTGGTTCCTATCACCACCACTGTGAACAATTCTGACTTTTTTTGTACAACTACTTTACTATTATCAACGTTACATACAAAGACTCTATGTGAAATATGTGTAGGTTCACTGGACATTTTGGATAGTAACTAAAATTGCTTCATGCATTGGCATCATGACCCATCATGAGTTCCTATCACCACCACTGTAAAGAAATCTGTAAGTTTCTCTACAATTAACCATTTCATGTCAGACTACTCTGAATGACTGTGTGTGCACCTCAATTCTTTAATTATGCAGAAATTTTTAAAATATTTAACTTTGGGCAACAATTTGTCACTGTAATGATGAAGCACAACAGTAGGGGGCACCAGAGGAGGAAATATGGCCATAGACTGACCTGCAGATAACAGTGCCAAAACCTTTAGAATGTATTATTAAATAAAAATCACATTCATATATTTACAGGATGTATTTTTTTAAAACAAAATGTAAAATCTTTAAGAAAGAAACAAGCAATAGTTACTTCTGCTGTCAATGAAGGCGCACAGACTAAGAAACACATCCCAATGTCAGAAACTCTTTCTATGAGCTTATAGATGCTCCGTGGTAGACAGCTTGGTATGACTCAAGGCCTTTGTCTCACGGCCCTGACCTAACTGTGGTTTATTAAAACCAGCATCGTAACCCTTTACTTAACATTAAAGCTCAGTTAAGAATAGCAAAAACAGCACTACAGTCAGCACAGGATTACCACTGAGTTGACTGACAGCTCATTGTACGTTTTAAAGAAGCATTATTGTTGTGGAATCCTGATAGCCAGTCTCCAGGTTAAACTGTTCCTGAGTGGGTCAAATGGCCAAATCTAAGCTCTTGGAAAGGCTGGTGATGGGTCATTTTAGCTAGTGTTGTGGCTCTGCTCCACTTGTGAACTGCACTTTGAAGGGTCCTTCATGTCTGTAGACTCCAGCACTTCAGGCCCTTGAACAAGCAAAAGGAATAGTTTGAATAATGTTCCCTTTACTCCAAATGTAGTCGAGCCAAGCGTGCCTGAAAGTTTGTTTCTTGCTTTTGCACTGGAGCTACTAGGCTAATGTAATCTCAGTTAGACAAGGAAAATGACATACTGTTATCTATGGAAACTCAAACTGGAAAGAATAGCCATCTAGTAAGTCATAATAATGAGAAAGTTTCCCATTATGACTTAATATCTCATAGTTATGACATAGCATCTCGTAATTATGACTTGATATCTCATAGTTCTGATGTAGCATCTCATAATAATGACTTAGTGTCACATAGTTCTGACATAGCATCTCAAAATTATGACTTAGTATCTCATAGCTCTGACAAAGCATCTCATAATTATGGCTTAGTATCTCATAGTTCTGACATAGCATCTTATAATTATGGCTTAGTATCTCATAGTTCTGACATAACATCTCATAATTATGACTTAATATCTTATAGTTCTGACATAGCAGCTAATAATTATGAATTTGTATCTCATATTTATGACTTACTATTTCATAATAATGAGATCCTATCTCATAGTTATGACTTGGCATTCTATAATAGCATGACTCTAATTCATAATTCTGATGTAGTGTCACATGATAATTAATTAATATCTTATAATTATAACATATTCATATATTACGTACTATTTCACAAATATGACTTACCGTCTCATAACTACGACTTAGTATCTCACTATTCTGAGGAATTATGACAAGCTCTCTAATTGTTTTAAAATAATATATTGCTGAAGTGGCAGAAACAGGCTTGTGGACAAAGTCACAGCTTTGAAACTACACCTGCTGTCTTTAGCTAAAGTATTGTCCATTTTTATAGACACAGTTTGAGACAAGTTTGTGATTCTTTAGGAAGGTAGTTTGCACTATGCTAACCGGTGACATATGCTAATGTAGGTAACAAATGTTAGCTTCATAGCTCCAGTACAAAAGTAAAGAACCAAACAACAGATAGTAAACATGTCTTGACTGATCGACTACATTTGATGTAAAGTGGAAAACTGTAATTTGTTGCCACCAAACTAATTCTAGCTATACTTTTAATATCATTTTCACTAAGCTTGTGTCTGAAATCAGAGCACTTATCATCTAATTCTCTGATACCACACTAACCGACTAATTAACAACAATCGTTAGCAAAATTGAAGTCCTGAAAATGTATCTCGTGAGTGATCTGACCTTCAGTACCAGCAGAACAAAAGAAGCCATTGTTAACGAAGGAAGTCTCTCAGATCAGGGCTGGTGGGGCAACACTGGAAACTATTAGATACTTCAGAGCCCTTAGGCTGGTAATCTGTGTCCTGGATTCAGAACACTGGCGTCATCCTGGACAGACACAACAGCGCCTACATGTACAGCAGTGGCCAACAAGGTGGGGCAGTATAAAATAACAAGCTGCTTGAGGTGTCGTTTTGAAGATGTTTTGATACTCGTCTGAGAGGATTCATCAGGATTCTTCAACACATCTTCGAGACGTTGAATAACTTGGAATTGTTTGTAATATTAAGGAAGTTATTCTATGCATAATAATAAAGTAAACAATATAAACTTAAATATTACAGTCTAGACAGCAAAAGGTTTAGATTTTAGACTTTTTGGAAACAAAAA